ACTTTTATGTGTCAAATTAAAGCTATATACATAAGCAAAGCCTGCTTAGTATAATTCTTTATACAGCAGTACTAAGGGCCGGTTTTATAAAAGTAGACGTTGACCGCCGGTTATCAAACCTCCGGTTGAGCAGTTAACCGAAGGTTGAACATCGATACGTTTTATGACAGGATTTTAACCTCCGGTTTATTAGCTTGCCGTCAACCGGCCGCGGTCAATGTTGGCTGCACTGCGCGCCAACTCTCAACCAATGAAATGCGTGCATTCGAAAACGTAAAGACACACGTGTTTACGTTAACCTAACCTGACTTTCGACGTAGATCATTTTGCGAGCGATTATTTTATTATTTTTTTTATTTTATTATTTTATTTTATTAATTTTTTTTTTGCGATGTTTTATATAAAATAATTCTCTTTATATAATTAAAAACAAATTGGATTTTGTAAAAATTTTATTTATTAAGTTCTTTTTTCAACAATTCTATTCTTAAACGTCTTTCTTCATTTTTTAACTTTTCTCCTTCAATTTTTAATTCATATAATTCTTTTTCTTTTTCGACCCTTAACTTTTGAAATTCATTTTCCCTTTCGTCCTCTTTCTGTAAAAGTTGTTCTTTCAATAAAAGAACACGGTTTTTCAGTTCGGAAATTAATGTGTTTCCTATAAAATTATCATTAGTGTGCAGTAATCTACATATTTGATATATACCTTTAGGTATTCTCTTCACCCGTAAAAGGGGATTTTTCCGATTCCTTAACTTGGACGGTGTATACTCTCGCCAATCTAGATCAACATGCATACTACGCATGTTGATTTTAAAATATTTTTTTTTATTTTATAAACTTACCATCTGCAGACACTAATAAATCTACACTATTTTCTGCATTATTGGATATTGTGGGGCTTTCTTCTGGTGTCGTTTGTGTCGCTGATTTACTTGTGGATGGTGTTTGAGGATCCACAGTTTCGTTGTGGTTTGAAGGTGGTTCTTCTCTAAAATCACTGTCTCCTTGACTTGCTGCCAACCCAACCACTGAGTATTCGGTGAGGTTTTTATTTTGTCAAACACCAATTTTCGACTCAGCTTTACATTAATATCTGAACTACCTCCCCCAGTAGCGTACAGCTGTTGATTCACCCGAGCAAAAAATTTTCTTGCCTCTTTTTTCAGATTGTCAAATTTTCCCCACAGTTGGTCAGCGGATCTTGGGTCGGTCGTTGCTGCATTATATTCTTCCGAAATTTTTTGCCAAGTGTTATTCTAAATAGTAAACATTTTAAAAATAACCTGATTATTTTTAAAATGTTTCTTTAGAATTGACTTTACCTTTTCCCTCCACGTGGTCGCATCGGTTTTTTTGCATTCGACTACTGGATATTTTTGTATAATATCAACTAACAAAGAAATGTCATTATCACTGTACCACACACGTTTATTACCTTTAGTTACAGCGCTCATCCTCTTACCGTATTTGTGATTTCACTATAACTATTCGCAGGAAAACAAGGTTGATGACAATTTTCATGACAGATCATGACAACATGCATTGTGCGTATATCAACCCTCGGTCAACCTCGACTTTTACCTGCGGTTGAGATAACTTTCCTTTAACCGGAACTTTATTACTCAACCGTAGGTCGTACAACGCAAACTAACGGTTAACCGGAGGTTGACAGTGAACCTACTGTCAACCGTACATTGTAAAACCGGCCCT